CTATTACTTGTTTAAAAGCCACTTGACATTGCACCTGGCTCATGTAAAGATGCGTAAAACTTGTCAAATTCTAAACATTGTAACAAGTCATAAAAAGAGAACCATCCAGACCTGGCTGGTTATATCACAAATGAGCCGGTTATACAAAGGAAAGAAAGTGACCGCTTTTGGCAAGCAAGGCCAACCCTGGAGGTGAATTCCGTGCCCCACACTTGATGCTCTGGTCTGTGTGACACGCATCAGGAAGGGGACAGCTTTCCGAGTCTGTCCCACCGTGCGAATGGGCCTGGCATGACTTTCCTTTATCGGTCACTTCCTTTCGGTTCACTGCTCAGGATGCACCGCCATTTCCATCAGGAAGTGTGAGCCGAAAGGGGAAATGGAAGCCGGTAAACATCGCTTCTGTTCATTTGGCTCTAACAGTGCCAAGTCAGAACAGCTGGTTTGAGGTGTTTCCATCAGTGCTAGTCCCGTCCCGCATGGCTGCCATGGCAGTCAGCTTCACAGGCCACCAGCCTCGCTGGGTCTCTAACCTCAGGAAGACTTGCAGCCCAGTGTGTGGGGAAGGCAGAGCAGGTGCAAGAAAAGGCCCAATGCCTCTTCAGTGACTTAAAAGCTGCTTGGGCAGGAAACAACAATTAGATAGGTAAAATTACTTTGTCATGAACGTTTTCTTCTTCTTTACTTTACTGAATCATTATGACGAATTTATCGGTAGGAGCTGGGTCAGCCTCTTCCATGGGGGACAAGTTTACAGAGCGTTAAAGGGCCAGCGGGAGTTGTCCAGAGGAAGCAGGGAGTAGTGAGTCACAAGGTCCGCGCAGCTCAGGAGATTAGATGGGGCTTTACACGGAGGAGGCAGTTCTACCTGTCCTAGAGAGACACTCTGAGTCCGCTGGATAGCAGTGAGTTTGGTTTGGAGTTTGAGGAATCGCCCACCAAAAAATGGGGCCTCCTGAACCCCAATTGCCTGTACCCTTGTGGAACTAACTTGCTACAATTTCTGGTTTCTGAAAATCTTAAGATATTCATATGAGGAACTTTTATTTGAAAATCAATAGTAATTGCTCCTCTGAGACAGAGCTTGCACCAGCAGGCAAGGAGTGCTATGAAGTGATCTTTCCAACGCGAACAGCTGTTAGTTCTCTTTGCAAACTCAAAGAAGAGGAGCAGCTTCCCCCAGACAGGCCCAGAGCAGCTCTTCCGTTCCCATCGCACCTTTGCACTTAGCTATTTCCGTTACTCAAGTCCCTGGGTGCTTACATCGCCAGTGGCTAGCCAAACAGTAGGAGGTTCATGCCTACTCAGAGGTACCGTGAAAGAAAGGCCTGGTGACCCCAGCCACTGAAAACACTGCAGAACGCTGTTTTGTTCTGAAATGTCTAAGGTCGCCATGGGTCAAAGTCCACTTGAAGGCATCTGGTGATTTATTTTGAAAATGACCATAAACTCACTGCCATCGAGTGGATTTTGACTCATTTCAACTCATCATAACCCTCTGGGACAGAGTAGAACTGCCCCTGTGTGAGTCTGAGACTGGAAATCTTAGCCTTCAGGGTAGAAAGCCTTGTCTTTCTCCTGCAGAGCAGTTATGGTCTAGAACCACAAACCTTGTGATAGCACCCAGGCTCCTGTTATAATGGCCTCATTGCTCTTTATTTGTCACTTAGTCCTCCCCTTGGACTGAAGGCTCCTCCTTAAAGCGGGAATTGCCTTTTTTATCTTTGCATCTTGTTATCTTTGCATCCCCATGGTTAGGCATATGGTTGGCGCAATGGATGGGTGAAATAATAAGTCATAATAATAAGTAAGTGATCACTGAGATTAATAGAACAAACCAGTTCTCCCGTATAGTTTAGGTCCAACAAAAACAGATGATCCACACAGCACAGCTCCATCAGTGCAAGATGCTCTGATTCAAAATATATCCAGTCCCCTTTATAGCTTCAGCATCTGCACATAGAATTAGTGTACCCAGCCATCATCCTGTCCGAGAATAAAGTCCAATCGGTTGAAAGGCTGAAAACACTGCTATAGACTCGGATACCTTGCCTAGAACGTACCTGGTGCAAACTCATTAAAAGCCTCAAGCACTGCTGAAGAATGTGTTAACGTCCCTCTTCTTTGGCAAAGTTGGCTTACACTGTGTAATTGTGATATTTGAATATTCCTTCTAATGTTTATTCAGAGACCCAGATACATTCTTGATGAAAAAATGATCAAACACGGTGCTCTATTTTTACCCTAGGCCTTCAGAGGGTTTATTATTTTAAAATAAAATCTATTAAATCTCGTGAATACATTATTCCTCATTAAGGTTCTTTTAGAAATTCATTTGACATATTAAAGATGGGCACAGTGAATAATTTATAAGCAAAATCACTTTATAGTATTTATCTTAGAAATTAGAGTGAATAGAACACAAGAGAAAGATGATTATTTTAAAAAGATATAATTGTGTGATAGGGAAAAAATAGGCAGGGGGAATCTCTAGGTTATTTTTAGCATTGTTTTTTAGCATTTCCCAAACACTCTTAGCTTATCACTTAAGTCAGTGGTTCTCAACCTTCCGAATGTCACTACCCTTTCATACAGTTCTTCATGTTGGGGTGACCCCCCAATCATAAAATTATTTTTGTTGCTACTTCATAACTGTCATTTTGCTACTGTGATGAATAGGGTGACCCCTGTGAAAGGGTCATTCGACCCCCAAAGGGGTCACAACCTATAGGTTGAGAACCGCTGATCTAAGTAAATTTTTCAGGTATTAATTTCATGAAATACAGAAGATGACAAGTCAATTTATTGACTACACTAACAGTAGTCATGATTTTAAAAACTACTAACAAAAAAGCACAGATAAAAAAATAAAAGGAAATAAAAATAAATTTAATTTAAAAAGCACATCTACATTGTCAAATCTCTGTAGTTGGCTCAGATAGGAGTTCAAAAATGATATTCAATAAAAATGCTCCTGGGGACCCAAAATCATTAGACAGTGCACGTGCAAAACATTTTGTCTAACAATTAGCTTTGCAGCAGGGGTTTGTTTTGTTTTGTGTATGATTCCTTCTATGACTAAATAACATTCCGTTTTCGAGCAAACTGGTTTGTTGGCTCCAAGCTGGATTTCTTTTAAGCAAAATCCTCAAATAAACCTCAAGAGCGTTTGAGGAAATATCTCCTCTGTTCTTTGACCAGGAAAAGAGAAATAAACTGCTCTTTTACGTTTGAGGGAGGGAGGACAGGGAGAGCCGGAGCTGATGTAAGCAGTATGAAACGAAGAGTACAAAACTCACTATGAGGGTTCATCATGGAAAAGCTCAAGGACAAATGACATGCGACTTTAGACCAGCGAGATCTGACTCAGGAGGACTTTATATAAGCTTTTGCTTGTATAAATAGAAGAGACACTCGAACTCCCAAGTGTGTCTCTTTATAACTTTATAAATGTATTTCAATGTCTTCTTTCTGCCCACAACTCCCCCAGAGGCCTTGCTCAACTGGGAGAAACCTCAGCCCGCCCCAAAGAAAAACTGTAATATGCTCTTATAACCAAATGTTATCATAAAGCACTAACCGATCCTTAGCAAAAAGTTTATTCAATCTTTTTATCTTTAGCAAATAGCTTATTAATTCTCCTGGGCAGCCATGAGGTGAGGGTCGGGCTGCACACTGTCAGAGTGGCTGCCAGCTGCGCTGTAGGAGAAAGATGAGGGAGGCTGGCTGTCTGCTTCTGTGATGATTTAAGCCTTGGAAACTCGAAAGGGAGCAGTTCGACTCTGTTTTCACCCTCCCCGGGAGGGGCTGTGACCTGGTTTTTTCAGTAAATCCGGGCTGAATTGTTGGAGATGCTCTCGTCAGTGATAGCAGTGGTGGTCACATTTTGGTGCATCTCGTTCTGAGGCCTGCTGCTAAGGGAACCAGTATGTGAGCGTACGGCCCTTTATCTTATGAACAACTGCTTCAACACTGAAAGAGACGGGCTTGAGTCTAACTCTTTCTAACATTTCTACCCAAGGAAGTCACGCCTTCAGAATGTAGAGTTGCTTAATCGAAGCACCATAATGCCAGCAAATCAAGAGGACCTTGGAAAATGTGGCAGAGTCACAGGATTTACTAAAAAGCAAACCTTTATAGCTGGCTGCTTAGCATCATGCATATGCAACATTCAGCAATCCTTGCAATGTGTCATTAGCAAAAATATTTTCACCTATCGACTTAGCCTGATGTATTTACAGCGTTAAACAATCAAGGGAGCCAAGTACCCAATATCACCTTTCTGGGTTTTAATCAAATGCATATGATAACTTTTCAATGAAAAGGCATGCCATTTTCTTTTGTACATTTAAAAACAATTTGTTACATGCTAGAAAGCACAATTCCCAATCAATCATCTTCACACATTCTCAAACATTTTATGGACCATAGAAACAATACCAGTGTATGTCCACTGGCTTTCATACTCTAGACCTCCATAATCATCCCTCAGTTCTCTGGGCCTGTTCAGAAGTGATTTTGTCCCATTTTCCTCTCATCAAAACACACACACAGCCACAGCCACAGCCACTTACAGTGGCACCCATGGATTTTTCACTGTCTTTTGAAGATATCTAAAGGCAGCCTTAAACTATTTCCCCAAAATAGTGGTGATGGAGAGAATCCAAGCACATTTTAATACCAAAAAAAGTCCCCTTCCTGATCAAATTACAGAATATGAAAAAATACAGAACTCTTGAAGGAAATGGTTGTAACGTGCAAAATCGTGTAATGAGATGATTGTGCACTCGATGTTTCAAAGTGCAGCTACACATTTCCAATATTGGCTTTTCATTTGCTTTTAAGTAAACTACCCTAGTTCAGTGATACTGCGTACTACGGGGTTACTAAACTCGGTAACAGCCAGCTCAAATGAGTCTTCTTTTAATTTTTAAGACTTTTGGAAGACCCCTTAGCAGCCTTTTTTTTTTTTAAGAAAGAAATAGAGATTATGTACTCACCTCCTGGTGTCTTGAAATAGTCTGGCAAAATCAAAATGATTGTGATAACTATTGCCAAAATTAGTTTAAGGAGGGCTGTTTTTGTCATGTCTTCTCACATGACACCAATGTGCTCCTACCCAGGACATTGAAGATGGGTTTCTTCCGGCTTTATATTTCATCTCTGTGGTGCATGTGAAGTTAACATGACTGACCGCATAGTCACTTCCTTTGGGTAAGACTTTACAAAAAAACACGCGAGGCCTTCTGCTTAGACTTCTGCATTCTGAGTCACTCTGCATGACGAGAGCTACCCTCTAAGAAGCACTTTCAAACTAGCTCCTACATCAGGAAGACAAATACAAAGGATCACAAGAGGCAACGGGTTCTTGTTCGATTTAATCTAGCAGCTATTTGCTATTGGCTCAGCAATCTGTGAGCAAATCTGAACCCACAATATTGTTGTTGTTGTTGTTGTTGTTGTTAGGTGCTCTCAAGTCAGTTCCGGCTCATAGGGGCCCTAGAGACACAACAGAACGAAACCCTGCCCAGTCCTGTGCCATCCACACAATTGTTCTTAGGTTGGGCTATGCTGTGACAGGCACCGTGTCAATCCATTTCCTGGGTGGGCTTCCTCTTTTTTGTTGCCCTTCTGCTTTGCCAAGCACAATGCCCTTGGGCAGGCTCTGGTCTCTTCTGACAACCTGGGCAAAACACGTGAGACAGTCTGGCCAGCCTCGCTTCTAAGGAGCATTGGCTGTTTTTCTTCTGAGATAGATGCGCTTGTCCACCTGATCGTTCATAGCACTTTCCTTATGTTTGCAGGCACCATAATGCAGCCCCATTACTTCTTCTTCAGTCCTCTTTCTTCATTGTCCAACTTTCATATGCTTATGATGCAACTGAAAATACCATGGCCTGGGTCAGGCACATCTTAGTCCTCCAAGGGACATCCTTGCTCTTCAACACTGTAAAGAAGTCTTGTACAGCAATAGACTTACTAAAATGATAAGGATGGCTGAGAGTCATAGCCAGGTTGTATGAACACCATCCATTCACTTAGTCACTAAACGAGAAATCCCAACACGTGCCATGTTTACGTGGCAGGTGCTATGCCGGAGTCTCGGGTTAAGAAATAATATGTCCGGGACAACAACAGAAAATCTAATACTACACTAGATACCTGCAACATCTTGTGCCTTTTTACTTCACTGCGTACAAGCAGGAGGGTGGAGCTCATTATCTGGATGCCTAAACACATTGTGATTATCATGACCAAATCTACATTTAAGTTACCATGAAAACAAAATCAACACCCCACTCCCCCAAAAAAAACCCTTTCATGATGCTAATTTCAGAGAAATAAAATACTTTATCTTTGCACAGAGATGAAAGGTAGGGAAATGTTCTTCAGGGTGAATAGAACAGATGTCAGGAGAGTCCCGGTGGCCTGGTAGATTGTGAGTGGGGCTGCTGACCTCAAGGTCAGCGGTTGGAAACGACCAGCCGCTCCTCACGAGAAAGAGGAGGCTGCGGCTCCTGTAAAGAGTTGCCCTCTTGGAAATCCACAGAGGCAGTGCTGCTTTGTCCACTCAGGTCTCCATGAGTCAGAAGTGGCTCTGTGGCAGTGAATGAGTGAAAATATACGTGCAAATAAATATTTTTACTTCGTCCTGTTATCTAGGACTTTGATGGCTCTTGTTTTCTGGCTGTTGGCAGAATGATAGCTCCTAAAATTGTCTCTGTTCCCTCCCTCCTGTACCTCCATCACCATTCATTTCCACTCATTCTGTTTCTCTTTCTGACCCATCCCACGCGGGTGTTACAGAACAATGGGTGAGTGGGGGGAAAGAGCAAAGGGTACTTGCTGTACTGGAATATGCTGTGACTGTGGATTAACTTTTTTTGTCTCCTAATAGGGAGTGGGAATTTGATAAGCATGATTTGGGAATCATGGCTAAGAGGACTTAGACTCTGAGGTGAAGACATGTCCAAATGGAAATAGAACATCAGATATGATCAATTCTTAATATTCCAACAGCTTGAAGGATGATTCTGAGAAAGAGAAGGTGGGAAGGTGTCTTGGTCTGCATTCCAGACTGGGAAATATTGGAGCCCAGGTCAGGCAGCCGTCCGCAAGACAGAGAGGCTCCTGGGGAATGAGGAAGAAGGGAACCCTATCCCCTAAGTCTCAACAACAACCAAAAATGCCAAACCCACTACTCTTGAGTTGATTCTGCCTCAGCCACCCCTGTATAACATTTCTGAGACAATAACTTCTCACTAGAACAGAGAGCTTCCTCTTTCTCCTATGAACCTGCTGGTGTGTTTGAACTGTTGACCTTTAGTTAGCAGCCCAAGGCTTAGCCCACAGCACCACCAGGGTGCCTTTCTCCCTCTCACAGGTTTCTTTAGTTGGTCAGCAGAAGCGGTCCTCCCCACTTTTATTCTTAGTTATAAATATAAGTATGTCAACCATAAATCTTTGATTTATTACACCTTTTTCCTGCTGTTAATTTTTTAAAATATGTATATTTTATTGTGTTTTGGTGAGAGTTTGCATAGCAAATTAGCTCCCCATGAAACAATTTCTATACATATTGCTCTATGACATTGGCTATATTTTTCACATATCAGCATTCTTTTTTCAGTTGTTTTCTTAATATAGTATCCACAAATCACACACCGCCATGGTTAAAACGCTTTTGAAATGAGTTGGATATAGATAATCACAAGCCGTTCCAGAGCTCCCCCTTCCCAGATTCCATGTTGTTCCCCACATCCCCTCACCCTCCCTGTCCCTACCACCCCCCACCCCCCACACACATCCACAGTAAACCACTCTATATATCTACTCCTTTTGTGTGTCAAACACAGGGAATGCCAGCAGCAACAATAAAAGACAAAAACAAGATAAAATAGCACTAGACCTTTTTTTTTTTTTTTTTTTAAGAAGACCTCTTTGTCTATTGGGAATATATGTCTTTTCTCAGAAGAAAGGCCTGGCGATCTACTTTGGAAAAATCCGCTGCTCCACATCCTACGGAGCACAACTCTACCGTGACACACCTGGAGTCACCATGAGTCAAAATAAGCTGGATGGCATTGTCCTATCTGGCGTCCCTAGGTTGTCTTTGCGTCTCTTTGTGCAAGTGCTGTGGGGGTTTTCTCCAGCTAGTTTGTGACAGAACAGAAGATATGGTAGATTATGCTCCTAAAATTTTGAAGTTGAGGAGCAGTTTTTCCCCATTGCATTTATAATGTTAGACCAAATAATGTATAGGTTTTCAAAAATCAGCACCAATACACCCACTGTCATCCAGTCAATTCAGACTCATAGCCACCCTGCACAGGGCTGCCGAGACTCAATCCTTATGGGAGCAGAAGCCTCATCTTCGGCTGCAGAGTGGCTAGTGCATTTTTGGTGCCAACCTTTAAGTTAGTGGGCCAACACCTAACCCACAATGCTACCAGGGCTCCTAAAAGTTGATCAAGCAATAGTTTATCCTTAAACACCAGTGACCTGGAATGAAAACAACGCATTTAAAAAGCCTGGTCCCCTTTGTTGTAATGGAACCACCTACCTTTCCAATCACATGTAACATGTTAGAGTTGACAATGACCTACAAGTCCATAGTTTTATTTAACGATTTCCCAAATACTTTCACAGATATTAAGATGATCAGAAAGAGAATCTAGGGACTTCTGGGGGCTCCAAGTCTGTAGTTACCCGCTGTGGGCCTCTCCGTCCTGCCTCGGTGAAGGAGTGAAATATCGATACATGGAAGGCATACGGGGTTCTGCATGGCATTCGTGTTTAATGTTCCTGAGTCTGATATTTCCTATCCCAGTCTCAAGTCCTCGATTTACTGAATGTCTGAATCAAACAATGGCACATTATAGACTGGATAATGTGTGTTTTTGAAAGAGAGAGAAAGCTCTAATTCTAGGGGCTGTTCTCCACAGAAGGAGCCCTGGTGGCATAGTGGGTTACATGCTGGGCTGCGAACCACAAGGTCAGCAGTTTGAGAGTACCAGCGGGGCTGCAGGAAAGACATTGGCTAGATTTTGTGCGCCCCGGAAAAGATTCACAGCTTCACAAGCCCACAAGGGCAGCTGTACACTGCCCTATAGGGTCATATGAGTTGGAATCAACTCAAAGGTCATGGCTCTGGTTTTAAGTTTGGGGTTCTATTTAGAAAGCATGATTTAAACAATAATCATGATGATCTAATTTAATTGTATATCCTTCTATGCTGTTATTTAAATATACACATATTGTATAAATTTTATATGGGCAGTCTATTTTCTTCTCTCCCTCCCCCTCCTCCCTAAACTGTCCTTGATGCCTTTACTTTATTCTATAAAAAGATCATTTGGCAACCAAATAAAAACAAAACAACAAAAGATGTAAACATTTATTGAGCATTGACTATGTGCCAATATAGTCTCAAACTTTGCACCCGGATTCTTTCACGCTAATTCCCCTCAACCCAGAAACTTCTTGAGGGATTTACTACAGTGAATCCAATTTTAGAAACAAAGAAAATGATGAATAGAGAAGTCAAGCAACTTGCTCAAAGTCATATAGAGGGTCTGGCTGTAGAGTGACCGTCCCCAATCAGCCTGCTGGACTGCCGCCTTGCTGTGTCTGTCACACCTCAGGCTGTGGGACATTGATCTGGAAGGGCCACTCAGGCAGTACAAGGAGAATGGTGCTGGCGGCTGATTTTCGTTAGCTGCGTAGAGTCCATTTCGATTCAAGGCCAACCAATGTTGTTCGAGCAGAACTGTGCTGAGATTTTTTAAGGCTGAGGCTTTTCAGAAGCAGCTAATTATGTCTGTCCTCCAAGGTGCCTTTGGGTGGGTTCCAAATGCCAGCCTTCCAGCTACTAGTCAAGCACTTAACCATTGGCACCATCACCCAGCGACTCCTAAGAGTAATAATGGCAAAGAAAACTGAAGCTCTATGTATGGTCTTGCAGACAGACGTGATAGGACAGGGTAGAACTATCCTGTTTGGGTTTCTGAAGCTTTACGTTTTTATGGGAGCAGACAGCTTCAGTTTTCTACCATGGAGCAATTGGCGGGCTTGAACCACTGACCTTG